GGCATTGCGGCGTTGTTAGATTTTATTTTACTTTAAAGTCGCTTTTCTCTAAAAAAATGCCGTTTTGAGCTCCAAGTTATATGAAACTTTCTGCTTCCCCATTTAAATAATGACTATCATAACGTTTACACCCTGTATTGTTGGCTGAGAAGTATCGACTCTATCTCCTCGCCACCTGTTTATTGGTATGCCGTTAGGTGGGCGAGAGAGAAGCCAAATCCCCTTAACAGCATTCAAAATATCTGTTCCGATTATGAAGTTTACTGTTAGCCCGAACGTGTCGGCATACTAGGAATAATAATTCCGTGTTTTCGAGTCCAGGCACGTATGTCCTGGAATCTTGTGTCACTTGTCCGGTTCGGATGTTCACGCTCTTCGCTCGCGTAGAATCGATTCAGATTTGTGTCGGGAGACGGGACATGGAATTACACGTACCGTTAACAGAAACAGGAAATACGGCCGACGTAAATATGCAAAAAAGGTAGCGCAGGTTTTTGTAGAAGGGTGAAGGTAAAATCAGGGTCAGAGCCACGATACATTCTACGCATCACTTCATAGACGTTTTTGTATCGATGATGTTCAATGTTTTTTCATCGCATACGTACATTGCACCCAGAAAAAATAATTTCTTCAACTTGATTTTTTTGGCAAGAATAAATCGATAACACTTCACGAAATTTGTCAAGTGACAAGAAAAAAAATTATGTGTTGGGCGACCCCTGTATACGTCTAGGCATCGACAAAATGAGGTAATCGATGTCTGGATGTGTCCGGTGAGCATGACATTATGCCATTCTGCCTCCCAGTGTTGCCGTTCTCTGCTCCAGTTCAAACGTTGTCGACAGTGGTCCGCAGTCAGAGGAAGCACTAACCGTGGACGATTTGAAAAAAGTCCAAAGGTTCGAATGCGGCGATAGAGTGTACGCATAGTAACAGGTCTACCTGAAGGAGGAGTTTACCTTACAGCTATACTTCTATTCAGCTGCCAGTAGTAGATTAGAAGTAAAAATAGCCTAACTAATCAAAAATAAAAACACATAGGGTCACCTAAATAAAACATGTAAATACTTCAATTGTTCATTATAGATAAAAAAGAATAAAAAATAAGATAATTATAATATAGTATCTACCAGTAGTCAATTTAAAGCTTCTTTCAAAAATAACTGTCCTGTAAGATGGTATATTGATTAGTTGTTTGTATCTTGTGTCAACATTATGGACATCTGCCCGAAATGATACTTCTTTGTAGAGATAGGGGGTCCTTATAGTATAGTACGAGGGATGTCTTTTAAGTTTTGCATATAGAAACGTAGTAGGCCGCGCGAATCGAACGTCAGTACTGAATCATAACCTCACTCTTTAGTAAACTTAAATTCAAAGTTTCACAACGATACGTGCAGTGTTCGCACTACAGTGAATTTTTAAGAGTCACCAAGTCATTAGAAAAATTGAACTCAACCGAGAACATTTTCGCGCCATAATTTATTACAACTTTCAGAGACAATTATCGCAACAGGAATGCCTTGCTGAGTTACTGTCTGTTTTCGGCAACGAAGCGCCACATCAGTCGATAATTTCCCGTTAGTATGGAGAATTCAAACGTGGACGGGTGAGTCTTAGCGACGATCCCAGGGTGGGTGCACCAGAAACGTCGATGCAGAGCGCAAACATATCGCGAGATTGAGACGTCCTTGAAGATCTCAAAGACCTCAATTCAAAAAAATTTACATGAAGAATTAGGAGTTAGAAAATTAGTTTCTCGTTGGATACCCCACCTGTTGACTGAAGAGCAGAAAGCAGCCAGGGTTAATTGGTGTCAATTGGTTTCAATTCCGGAAACTCAAAACATGTGTACAGCATTGTTAGTGGTGATGAATCGTGGATTTACTGTAATGAACCAGAAAATAAACGACAGTCGGCTGTTTGGGTGTTCCAAGGTGAAGAAAAGTCAACAAAAGTCATCCGTTCTCGAAGTGTTTGCATATTGCAACAATTCCTCTTAATGAGCAAAGAACTGTTACTGCAGATTGGTATACCACTATTTGTTTGCCGAAAGTCATCACCGAGCTTCGAAAGATCAACCCCGAAAGAAGAATCATCCTCCACCAAGGCAATGCAAGCTCGCACACAGCCCAAAGAACAAGGCAGTATTTAACGGAAGAAAACGTGGAATTATTGGACCATCCTCCATATAGTCCCGATCTAAGTCCTAAAGATTTCTTTAGTTTTCCGAAAATTAAAAACGGACTGCGTGGTCAAAGGTTCCAGCCACCAGAAGAAGCAGTTGACGCATTCAAAAATGCCGTTTTGGATCTGCCAGCAAACGTTTTAAATATTTTTAATCCGTTTTAATTCGTTCCTGACATACAGCTGTGTGTAGCTTATATTAATTTTGACGAAAGTACCATGTATCCAGCTTTCACCAGGTTACTGTGTATTTCCCTCAACCTAAACGTTAATAACATTTAGCAACATCCTCACATACTACTGTAAGTTAATTTAAAATTCATTTTGCACAATAGTTGCTATTTTTTTCTCAATTTTATTGCAGCTCCTGATGAAGATGGCAAAGTCCATTGAAAGCTAGAGACAATAAAGTATAAAGAGTCCTCATTGCTGGAATTTTGTCGAAGCACCCAACTAAAGACGGAAGCTTTATTTTTCACCTAACTGGTCTAGACGACAATGACCACGTCTCAAGTTATATATACATATATATGTATATATAAAGAGAAAATGATCATGCGGAGAAAGGTATATAACAAAAAGTAGTAAAATAATGGGCAAAATCCGCAAAAAGGAGGAAAGTGGATTCGAGCAGAAAATAGGATAGGTAACCCGAGCGATACGTATTTCAGCTGGTTAGCTTCATCAGGCCCGAAATGGATGCACATATGCATATGCATATTACCGTTTAAAATGCGAACGCCACTCCACGTCTGCACTAATGTAAAAATGTAATTACATTATTGTTTTTAGCGATTTGCACGGTGTAAACATAGCTCTACCGCGTACTGACCTGCGGCAAGCTCCTGAATTTGCATTTAATTATTGAAAAGTGCGCCGAGCCGCTGCATGGAGGGGAGGGAGAGAGAGAGAGGGGAGGGGTTAGGATGCGTTGACCTATTTCTGCCAGGGGGAGGGGGGAGGCTCGGTACATTCTAAACTAGGTCACGCCTTGCCGCTGTGCCGTCCCAGCCTGGCTTGGCCCGTTCTGGCGTTCGCTACTGGGGCCCCAATGCATTCTGTGGGCCAAGGACAGACCATGCTCACCTTACGCCCAGGAAATGCCTTTTCGCTTTCTGCAGACCCGGATACCTGAATTCCTTTGAGGGAAGTTGCGGGCAGACAAAAATGGGGCTGATGAATAAAATGCGGCGTGGATTTTTGATATCCAAAGCTCTGGGCCGCAGATATTTCAATTACCTGTTGTTTCTTTTTATGGTCAACTAAAAATTAACTGCATCATGATTACGACGTTTTTCTTATACAGGGTGTTCCTTAATGATATGCGAATATTTGGGGGTGTGAATCAAGATAAAAAATTAATGTTAGTTTGCTTTATAAACTATGGTCCAAAAATGTTTCTTACAAAAACTCGGGGTGTTGAAGTTTTAGGAAAAAAATGGAAATTAATATTGTCAGAACCGCTTCAGATATTTTATTGATATTTAGTACGTAGTAAAAGTTAATAAAGTTGTATATTTTTCAATGCAAAAATAGTGTTTAGCTTTAACAGTGGCGTAACAAAATACTTCTCTTATCTAATAATTTTGTGTTAGAAAATCGTACTCCAGATCGATGGATTGGTAGAAGAGATGCCATTGAATGGCCCCCAAGATCGCCAGATTTATCACCTTTGGATTTATTCATGTGGGGTCATTTAAAAAGCAAAATCTATGCTACTCAGCCAACATCATTAGAAGACCTGCGACAAAGAATTGTGAATGAGTGCCTTCAAATTACTCCTCAAATATTGCAAAATGTGCGGCAACGTTTTGAGCAAAAGTCATGGTGGCCATTTTTAACATTTACTTGCCTAACGGGTCAGTTCATTCTTCATTTTTAAATTACGTTGCTGCCAAATGTATTGATCTCCACTAATGATGATGTATTCGTTTTATTTAAGCTTTAAATCAATAAATCTTCAAAACTACTGAACTGAAGCTCATGTATTTTACATCACTATGAAGGGAATTGAAAGACCTTTAAAATAAAGTATCACTCGACCTCCCTTTCCATTTAAGATCTTGGGGTTGGTGTCACCCCCGCCCAGGGGGCTGCACGTGTTAACGTGATTTTTTGTCAAACTTGTGTCCCACTCGAAAACAAAATCGACGGGTCTGAGCGTTTTTCAAAAAAAAAACTGTGCTGCCAGTAAATGCGTCTGTTTCGTTTTCGATGCGCCACCCTGTATATATGAGCAGTAGTCATTGCCATTGCCAACGACCAGTTGGAAAGGAAATTGGCAAAATTGTTTAGGCTTTAGTTAACTCTTTTGACAGTAATCTCTAGCTTTCGGCTATTCTCTATGGAGCCTTCATCAGGAGCTGAAAACACAATTATGATGCTAGCAACCAATACAGGAACGATTTAAATTGTCAAACAACTTCTAAGGCTACGTCTATTGTCCAGGATGTAACCCTACTTTTGTCATGGTTGTGCTTCCTTCTAATGTGAGGAAAATAATATTTATTCTGTTCGACCTGAAGTTTTTAGCGACAAACTATCGGTATCGGTGTAAATAAGCCCGCACAGCTGGACATGACTTTCCTCATACTCTAGGCGTCCCACGATTGAAAAAAAATTGCTCTTCCTACGCTTTGATGGATGCTAGATAGACGATTTGTCATGTCGCACCTACAGACCTCTAAGACCTCTTGGTGCGTGCTTTCAAGAGTCTGATCAACCCTACACTTCTTGAAAAGATTATTTTGCAATGTAGCACAAACGTTAAAATCGACGATAAATGGATGCCATGATGCAAGGATTAAAGCATCTACAATAATAAGACATTATTTATTGAAGAATAAAAATGACAGTTCATACCGTTGAGGTTCAGAGTGGTAGTGCGTGTACATAACGTCGCTGTACCATTTGCAGAGGTGCTTAAGTTTTCTTAACTTCGCAACGGCTATGAACGCACCTTTATCAGGGCCGTGCGCGTGAGAGTCTACCAGTGTTACCTGAAACAAAATTAACGTTCATATTCAAAAACTAGAAAGATTCCAAAAAGATGCTACAAGAAAACCGCCCTTTTTCCAATGACGGGCTTGGAATTCGTGTTGAGCTTGACTTAGATAATTCCAAGACGAAGCAGATTGTCAGGAGAATCATAATGCTAACGCCATAAAGCACAGGGAATTGAAAATGCGGTACTAGCTGAAGACAGTAACGTATATCCTAAAAGTTTTGGGACAAAATATTTATCGTCTATTGTGGCTCACACCTATTTATATCTCCCCCAGAATCGTACATCTATGTTTAACAGATGTTTTTCTCATTTTATCTACCACTTGTACAATCATGTCACCACAAACTTTAAGTCTGTGTCTGTGTCAGCTTTTAAAAGAAGTTACAGAAAATTTCTATTATGAATTGTAGTGTTTACTTTATATTGTTCATTTCCTTTTTATATTTTAAATGTTTTTTTTTTTGTTAAATCTGCCTAAAATGATTTGACCTTTCTCGTTAAATTATATTTTTTATATAATTTTTTTATATATATATATTTTTTTACGTTTATAATTATTATTTATTTATTACTAATATTAATTTGGTTAAGAACTCCTCTGTTGTAATTTTATTTGTTGGGCTAGTACTTTGATCACCTCGTCTGTGTACTAGTCCCTTTTGCAAGGGCTTCATCTTGTTTCTTCAATTTTTTTTAGTTTTTGTTCTTTTTGTATTTTTTTGCTCTGCAAATAAACGCTATTATTATTATCATTATATCCTTCAGGTATTCTGCTTGGAGAACTACGTCTCCAAGTATGTTGTACCTGATTCTGGCAATTTCAGGGCATCGGCCCAATACATGCCTGAGTCAGGCGGCTGGCCCTTAAGTTCTGCAGAGCTGCAGAACTGCCAAAACTTTTGTCTTAACAGGAAAAAGCAGTAGTAATTTGATCATTATTTATTTCCCATGTTATCACACAAATAGAAACAATACCGGCAACGCTGCCCCCGCAAGACACGGCGTCGAGTCTGTTTTGTGTTGAGAAAGCAGTATAATCGACCAATTGTGTACTTGTCATTTTCGTCGCGACCACAGCGTAACATTATTCATGGGCCACGACGAAACCGGAGCTCCCAATACCCGGGAATATTTCGTGGACTGATTAATGTTTCTGATGAGCTTGATACAACATTAAGCGAACACATAAAAAAATGCTTCAATATTTAAAGGAAATACAAAGCGATCTACTGGATTCTTTATTATATTTGGCAGGTTCAAAATAAACTTTTTTTAATAAGAGTTTTCACATCTGGTTTTGGTAACAGTTTAGACAAAGTCACGCGTCGCCACTGGCTAGTACATAAGTAAGAATTTGACGAACCAAATTAAGGTATATTACTATACTAAGTGACATAAATCCGAACACCCAGTTTAAATGGTTGGATCTGCCAGGGTGTCAAGATAGGGTAAAAGATGGGGTTCTAGAACTTCGTGCATATAACGCTGCGCGTTCATGTTACCTCTGGTGAAGATTAAAGGTGACCTGGAACCATAAGCTATAGCACCCCAAACCATAACTCCAACAGTGTGATGAACATGTCTTTCAACAAAAAACTGTGGATTTCCCCTTTCACCACGTCGCCTTCTAACCCTGGCACGACCATCGTGCATGCCTAAACAAAATCGAGACTCGTCACTAAAGACAATACTGTTCCATTCCTGATCCCAGAGTGACCGTTGTCTGCACCACTCAAGGCGATTACGTCGGTGTTCTCGAGTTAAAGGGAGGACCCAGTGTGGCCGGTATGAAAACAAGCCAAAACTTCTCATTCGTCGGTAAACATTTCGCATGCCAATAGGTCTTCCGTGTTCTGCAAACCATTCATTTGCAATGGACCTGGTAGTGGAGAAACGGTCCCTTAAGGCCAATAATCTTAGGCGGCGATCTTCACGGTCTGTTGTTGTACGGCGGCGTCCAGTGCCCCTTGCTCTTTGCGTACGGCCTTCTCGAAGCCATGCCTGACAACACCTAACCACAGTGTCTACACTTCTTTGCACTCTAACTGCAATTGCCCGAAAAGAAAGTCCAGCTTCCCGAAGTCCCACTATACGGCCCCTATCAAACTCACTAAGTTGACGAAATCGTACAGGTCTCCGTACTTTAGGCATCGTAACCGATCGTAAAGAATGTCAAGAACCAAAATCCGCCAACGTTGATTCTTTACTGCGGCTGAAATATTCATTTTTAGAGCGTTAGTGAATTAAAAAAAAGCAGTATAAAAACCGGAATGTCCAACTGATAAGGCTGAAAATTTTTTCACTTGTTATTTACAGTAAGATAAATACATCCACCAACTTTTATTAAAATAAAACCATTTAAACTGGGTGTTCGGATTTATATGTCACTTAGTATATCTATGATTTGGCGACATCGCAACTTGATGGAGAGAATATGAGAGTGACGGTGCTGTAGTGATGGGAATAATTATCTCAAATAAAAGGAATGACTACTTAACAATTGCATTATTGCGATGAACAGTGTCACAGTAAGTTACAGTGTACATATGTTATATTCCTATAATTTTGAACAATCTTTTGTATAAACAAGAAGAAAACAGCAAAATGCAACTTTGAAGGTTTATAAAATAGCAAGCAGAGGGTTCCTTAAAGAAAAATTGATATTTTCGTGCAAGTAACATCGTAATGTTTCCTTTTAAAATAAGAAATGAAATATTTGCGATATGCGCTAAAGTATAGTTCAGCCATCATGAATTCATGCTGCCCAAGACAGTTCCACGTATGCTGAAATTGTGGCCAACCTTCATTAAATGGAGATGGTTTCTCGAGAAAAAGAATAAAAGAAGCTTCCCTACGTATGGGTGGTGACATTTCATTTCAAGGTCATGTCTAAGATCGTCCTTTCTTCGTCTACAGATTCAACACTAGGTCTATAGGCTTACTTTTACTTACCGTGTCACTTTTTGACTGGATGATGAAAACAACTGTTCGAGAATCGGCTACTAAGATAACATACAAGTCATATCCGTAAAGGCGCCCCCGCCATACTCTCCAGTTTTCCATTATATTTTTATACAATGATTTTGACAACAGATCCGTATAAATTTCGCTTTTCTGGAAACAATTCATATTATTTATTATCGTTGCCGCTGCCTTCATCGAATTGACCGTATCAACATCCATGGTCAAGGCAAATTTCCTTAATATTTTCGACCCCAACAGAAAACAATGCGAACAAGTATGGGCTTATAACTATTAAATCTCATACGCAATAGTGCCTAGAACTAGAAATGGTGGATCGTAATTTATTACATGTACTTTATTCCTGAAAATACCACTTCTTTTCTGCTTTGAAGTTCTCTAGCAACTTTTTGAATTTTCCTGGAGATAATTTACTGAACTGTTCATACCCATTCCACCATAGTTTTGGCTATAGGACCGGCATACTTGATAGCTTCAGGAACATTCAGATTGATATGTTTGATCAACTGTTTCATCTTCAAATAATCGTGAATTTTGTTGCCCTCAAGCATACTTTCTGCCAACAACAGGATCAGTCTCATATTCAGACTCTCTCCTGGATCATTTACCTAGAACAATGTTACACTTAAATTAGTTGTTGAATAATGATTTTTATTTGTTATACGGAGTTCACTCTACTATACAAATTGAAGTCCAAACCTCTCACCACAAGATTCCGAAGAGTGTGCTGCCAGCAGCGGTGAACCTCGATGGAAAAATGGACCCACGTCGTCCCTGTCGGTTAGCCGCTCAACGAGTAAAAGTGAGAGACAGATGATAGTGCTCCGCTGTCTACGAGGGAGGCAAAAGTTTTTACCTGAGTTATCTTGTACGTGTTTTTTTTTATATCGAAACACAACAGAAACAAAAATTCATTGATATTATCAGACCGAAAAAATTTGACCCTGTACACAAAATTTGCAAATTCAAGAAATTATTTCAACTTTTTTGTGGCTTGTGGCATACCGTTAGAATCGGGATAAACTAGAGTAGTTTTTAAAAAAATTCTAAGAACGTGAACGCTTTTAGTTTTTTTTACACAAATGCAAAATTGAAACTTACATTTTTTGGTTCTTCTTTGTAACCGTATGTGAGTTTATAAATAAAAAACTACATGCTGCTGGCAAGTAATCTCGATTTTGTAAGATTGATACAACATTAAAAAAATTAATCATTAGGTGAACATACTTTGTGTATTACATTTTGGAGTTTTTACTAAAAAAAATTAAAAAATCTACATAATTAATTACGTTGTGCTGAAAACTATCTGAGTGATCTGGGGTGATGCACGATGCACCTAATATCCTGTATATATATACAGGGTGGCGCATCGAAAACGAAACAGACGCATTTACTGGCAGCTCAGTTTTTTTTTTTGAAAAACGCTCAGACCCGTCGATTTTGTTTCCGAGGGGGACACAAGTTTGGCAAAAAATCACGTTAGCACGTGCAGCCCCCTAAGCGGGGGTGACACCACCCCCAAAATTTTAAAAGGAAAGGGGTTCGAGTGATATCTTATTTTAAAGGTCTTTCAATTCCCTTTATAATGATATAAAATTAATGTGCTTCAGTTCAGTAGTTTTGAGGATTTATTGATTTAAAGCTTAAATAAAACTTATACATCATCATTAGAGGAGATCGATACATTTGGCAGCAAAGTAATTTAAAAATGAAGAGTGACCCGTTAGGCAAGTAAATCTTGAAAATGGCCACCATGACTCTCCATGCCATAATAAAGATTTTGCTCAAAACGTTGAGGCACATTTTGCAATATTTGACGAGTAATTTGAAGGCACTCATTCACAATTCTTTGTCGCAGGTCTTCTAATGATGTTGGCTGAGTAGCATAGATTTTGCTTTTTAAATGACCCCACATAAAGAAATCCAAAAGGTGATAAATCTGGCGATCTTGGAGGCCAGTCAATGGCACCTCTTCTTCCAATCCATCGATCTGGAAACGTCTGATCTAAATATTGTCGAACACGTAATGCGTAATGTGGTGGGGCACCACCTGTTGGAACATCAACCTCAAACATCAAATGTTTCCATTCTGGTGTAGTCGAAAGATTTCCGCCCCACCAACTTGTAGATACTTTTCCTTATTTCTAACTTCAAAATAAATAAATGTCAGCTGTCAGTAAAGTAAGCCAAACTTTGGTTTCCAAAGGCAACTTGATATTAGTGTGTGTTTGTAGAAACTAAAGCCGATAAATTTTGTGCCAAAACTTCTAGGACATATGCAAATGTACGATGGAATTTTGTTTTAAAACTCACCATCAATTTAGACTTGTTACACTTGGCAGCCATAAGTACAGCGATGAGAGTACAAGCATTGCTCCCCCTGCTAGCATTGTGGACCTTGTAGTGGGCCTGCGAGAAGTTTGCCTCGAACCAAGTAACTCTAAAGTTTTTGTCGTACGGGTACTCCGTACCGTACTCGGGGATAAACGGCAATTCGACTGGGTCGGAAACCATGGCGGGAACTGATCCTGGAATTTTGAGTCATTTGGTAAGGAAACGCGGGCTTGGTGGTGTTCAACTGAATGTAGAGGGAACCGTCAATACTTCACGATGACAGTGTCAGTTTATATGGGCGATGAAGACTTATCAAAAAATGAGAACTAGAGACTCGTTAGCTGATATTCGGCATCATTTAATACAGTTCAAGCATGGGGGTTGTGTTATAATAATAATGTGATAGAATTTCGAACATTTGGTTGAAGCCTTGACGTATCCACGGATACTTAGGCCTTCCGGTGGTTCAACAATAAAAAAAAATCAGCAAAGAAGAATCGACCAAGAGATCGTATCTATACAGGGCAGGGGCGGCTGGCCCTTAAGTTTTGCAGAGTTGCAGAACTGCCAAAACTTAAAGAAAGAAAGAAGACAAGAAATACAAAATGATTTACCGGGATTTTTTAATAATTCTCCTCAACGCGTAGAGGTACTGAACAGAATTGTGGGGAAAAAATTCCCCAAGGAGCAGCAACTCGTTGGAATTTTAATATTCGAACAATAAATGTAGTGTTTGAGAACAGAGAATCACTCATTGAATGCATGGAAGAAATAGAAGAAAATTTCACTATGAAACCGTTTGCAAGGCAGCTTGCGGTATTCGCCGTATGTTAAACGATTCTGTTTTCGTGTTTCGGTTGACATTCTTTCATCATATCATGCCTCATGTCGACATCTTGTTCAACCAGTTGCAGAAGGGAAAAACCGAGCCAGCGCAAGTTAAAACGGCTATCGATAATTTTGAAAAACGTATTGCCGATGTGAGAAATAAAATTGATGACATAATAAATGAAGCAAAAGTATATAGCAGACCTATGACTGATCTAGAGTATTTTTTGGTCGAATGTGTCCGAGGCTGGAAACTTCTGTCGAATACTACTGGTAACAATAGCTTTTCTTTTTATTGACCTATCGGAATATCAGTTGTAACTTGTTTTCCTTCTCTTGTCACAATGCCAAACGTACATTACTGACTTTTCTGCATAACAATCACGTCCACAGGTTCGCAAGTGACAGCACTTTGCATCCAGGCGTTCAGAATGCTAGACGGATAGGTGCGGTTGCCCAGGTTAGGTTAGGTGTCTTGTGAATGCATCAATAACGATCCTCCACTGTGCCTCTCTGGTCTATTATGGCTTACACCTATTTATATCTGCCGCAGTAGCTCCGACCTCCCGAGAAAGTCGACCAACTCAATTTCGATGTCGAGTAGATGGAGTCAAGTGCATTAAGTGCGGCTTGACTATCTGAAAAAATAATCGTAGTTCTGTGCCTCAGTGTCGTTATGCGATCATTCTGGCACCCAGTTCTATAACATATAAGCTCTGCCTAGAAGATCGATGCCCAGGTTCCTAGGCTAACAGATTTTTTAATCTTTAACTTCGCCACGGAGATACCAGCTCCAACACCTACCTCGGTGTATGCACAGATATCTTTCCTTATCAGGTTGACTTGCTGTTCCCACTCGTTCCTGTGTGGAATTGACAGTGAGTGAGGCTTAGCATATCTTGTTATCTTTGACATTATATCAGAAGGCATTCCCAGACTGTGGTGGTTTTGATAGTGGCTTTTTCATTAACGAAAGCTCAAGATTATCGCTACCTGGAGACTCATCAGTTTGAGGCAGTTTAACGCTGTCAAGATACAGTCAATTCTACGTTGCCCAAGAAGTACAATTGATTGCACTGATCGAAACAAATCTAGATCGACATCGACTGAATTTTATTAGAGTCGTAAATTACGTATTTTGTAGGTTTTTCATGAATATGATGCAACGTTCGCACTGTGATATTGACCATAACTTTTTGATGTTCGTAGAACAAAGAATCTATAAAAGTATGACAGAGAATTGAAAATGTATCAATAAAAGTTGTGTTTACAATGTTTTTATAGGAGTGTCTGAATATTTATATCTATCTTTAGCTTGCCGATCAAAAATCTAACTTGTATACCAGTAAAACATAATCTGTGAATGATCTTAAGAACGAACACGTGTCAAATATATTAATTAGGCAATTCTTATTTTCAGCAGTAAAGGAAATTGTAATGATTTGCTGTTATGTTTTTGACCTTATTACATCCAAGCTCTGTAAGCAATTTTTGGAAGCAAAATAAGAACAAAATATTTTGAAAGTCATGCAATGGCCTGCCCAATCCCTGGATTTGACTCCGATAGAATTGCTGCGGGATGAACTGGACAGACAAGTACGGGAATGTTGTCGTACATCTCAAGAACACTTTGGAAAAATTAGTTGCGCGTTTACTCATCATTTGCCAGGCTGTAATTAAAAGTAAAGGAGGACATATTGATGAGTCAAAATATGATTATTTTGATTACAAATTGTTGTGTTTTTGACAATAAAGAAAACAAATGTTTCATTATATGATGTTTTTTTAAGATTATGAAAGATATATTGATACTTAAACACTTTCATGTCAGTTAAAGAGCTCCCATGTATTGGCAATAGTGGGTTTAATGTTCAGAAACGTATTAACACTATTTTTACTAAATATTTATGGGAACGTATACAATTCTGAGCTAATTGAGATGTAGTGATGCTTATCAGCAGCTATATTGCTAACTACTACTTGCAAAACAACTGTATTGAAGTATGACGCGTAATGTAAATGTTTCAGAAACAAGAATTATTGAGCCGTATTCATAAAATATCCTTGTACTTGCAAATTTTAAAGGAAATCCTCCAGATGGTATTTATAATAATTTGAAGTAAGAGCTTTTGCTTTTTGAGTATAAGCATATCCTTCAAAACAGTGACATAAGTAAAAGGATATTCATAATCTTCACCTTAAACTTGGCATAGGAGCATACCCTTCAAAAATTCTAAGTGTGGTCAGTAGCAGACTCAACTTGGTAACGAAAGGTGGTCAAACGATGATGGCAGAAATTGTGGATGTTAGGGACGTTAAAACGTACAAACCTTGTTTACCATTACTTGGTCGTGACTTCAAAAAATTATATCGGTTCGACGAGATCTGTTTTTTTTTCAAACTTGATTTCATGTTGTTGATTCTTCAAGGCATGGGCCTTTCTCATTTTTATTTTTGCAACTTGTGACTTTTGCAAAATAATGGGAGCAATGGCAATTTCATCTGCGATGAACTGCAGGTCGTTGCCATTATTTTATATAGTTTACTCATCACTTGATGCTGACATGTTTATTAATTCGATTCGTAAAAAAAAATATGGAACGGTCTGTGTAAGCTCTGGAGTACAACTGTCAGTGATGCTGAGTGAACGATCTCCCACGTCAACTACAAGCTGGAACAAGTCAGGACATGTCGCTCAAGATACAGATACCAGTCAATCTTTTACTTCTTCTTGGAGGATATCCTCGCGAGTATAAGGTAATCATTATGGATATGAAAACAAGGATATGCTTATACTTCAACCTTTTTCTCCGAAGCAAGACCTTATACTTTAACCTTATGCTTCCGAGGATATGCTTCTCTCTTATGGATACGGCTCAATGAATCTACTCGTATTTCTGAATATACGAGCTGTTCATTCTGAACTTTTATATGGTGTTATATAAAATCCACGTAATTAACCTCCTTTGTTTTCTTATTCCTGTGATATATACTTCCAAAACAGGCCCAGAGCCTCAAATGGCGATGCCCCCACAGTTGAAAAAATAACAATCAATCTCAATATCCCTAGAAGAAGAGTTCATTAACTTTTTACTCCAGTGCTCTCGACAATCAAGACGTTTATAGGTTGAACCAGATGGGTTTTCTTTGTTTTTGAATGGAGCTCCAGTAATTTGGACTTATCAGATCGTTCTACGGAGTTTAAGAAGTAATTGTAGATTCTTATCGATACAATCGGAGGCTGAGAAGGAATGAGGGTTTATGGTTTTAGGCCTCTATATAACAGTAATTAAAGTCGGACTGATTAAAATGTAGTACGATGTACAAGTTAAGATTCACAGATCCTTGGAAATACGGGCTAATGCGACATTTGTAGTGAGAGCAACTTAAGGTCATATAAAGGTCATTGATAAGGACAAATTCAAAATAAGTCAAGCATTCGATTCCTGACAAAAAATTTGACTCTTCAAGTGCAGCTTCAACCTGTCTAAATAACAATATTCCTATAAACCTAAGCTATTTACCCTTGGCAATAATGAAATATGGTAGAATTCAAAGCCCATGAGATGGAAACATGCCTTAGGGGATTGCTCCAATTTAGACTACTTTCCTCTATTGTGTATACGTACAGGTTTCTCAGTGCAGCATAGCTACTTTTTTTTATTCATATAAGAACGTCCAATATATAATGTATCGCATTTCCGATGACCTTGCATCACTACTACGTTATCAAATTAGGTTACGTGTTCTTCGCTTTCCCTTTCTCGTAATCACAACCGTTGAGCGATCTAATGAAAAATGGAAAACCCACGCGCGGTGCCGTGCCATGCCATGGCAAGCCGCGATTGATTTAGCATTCAACGAAAACAAACGGCAATCGTAAATCGTTAACCATTTCCATGGCCTACTTTTCCTTTCCTGGGCAGGTAATAATTGAAGGTTATCGACTCTCTGCGTCCTGCCTCCTACGGCAGTCCCTAGGGAGACGGAGCTGTGCATCGTCTGGATGCAATATTTTAGCTGTTCGGAACATACAGACATGGGTGTATCGGAATAATGTCTCACCCACAGAAATCGCAAAAAATATGGCGGATAGTCGATTAAGAGTTTGTTTTGTAGACCCCCTTAAGGGCAGAGTGTCGTTTGACGATTGATCCACCCTTGGAAATAATGTAATGTACATCACAGGCTGTCGTCGATATCAGAAATTTTTTTTTGCTGGCCATATTTATTTGGCATTTTGTTGATAAATTTTGGAAAGAATGGATTATTTTTGTGCTAAACATTGCTAAACAATGCAAAGTAGTAATGTAATTGCTTTCTTCAATTTTTAGCGATGTCGAAACGTATAGGCAACCACTACTGCACCGAATTTGTGCTTGCTGTAGATTGTATATCACATTCTGTCTGATTCACCTACATTCACTTGATGTTGTTCCATACTTAGAGTTTTTGGCTTGTATTTTCATCCAACATTTCGTCACAAGTTACATTTATACCGACTTCTTGCCATATCGATGTTTATATACTAAGTGACATATAAATCCGAACACCCAGTTTAAATGGTTTTATTTTAATAAAAAAAGTACTTAATGAAGCATAATAAGTAAATGATAAAAATTTCAAAATGATTGCACTGCTTTAAAGCCCTTTGACCGTTAATAATGTGCGGATGCACCCTGATGTGCTACGCATTCTCCAACGCGCCTAGGCATGTTTCTGATCAGGTGGTCAATGTCCTCCTGTGGTATCTCATTCCAGGCAACCACCAACTCCTCTCGAAGTACTTCTAGAGTCTGAGGAGGACGTTGCAAATTGCGCAATCTCCTACCCATCATATCCCACACGTGCTCAATTGGGGATAAGTCTGGAGATCTTGGTGGCCATGGTAACAATGTGACATGATTATCTTGAAAGAAGTCTATTGTGACTCTTGCAACATGTGGTCGGGCATTATCTTGTTGGAAAGGTGGATCTGCCAGGGTGTCAAGATAGGGTAAAAGATGGGGTTCTAGAACTTCGTGGATATAACGCTGCGCGTTCATGTTACCTCTGATGAAGATTAAAGGTGACCTGGAACCATAAGCTATAGCACCCCAAACCATAACTCCAACAGTGTGATGAACATGTCTTTCAACAAAAAACTGTGGATTCCTCCTTTCACCACGTCGCCTTCTAACCCTGGCACGACCATCGTGCATGCCTAAACAAAATCGAGACTCGTCACTAAAGACAATACTGTTCCATTCCTGATCCCAGAGTGACCGTTGTCTGCACCACTCAAGGCGATTACGTCGGTGCTCTCGAGTTAAAGGGAGGACCCAGTGTGGCCGGTATGAAAACAAGCCAAAACTTCTCATTCGTCGGTAAACACTTCGCATGCCAATAGGTCTTCCGTGTTCTGCAAACCATTCATTTGCAATGGACCTGGTAGTGGAGAAACGGTACCTTAAGGCCAATAATCTTAGGCGGCGATCTTCACGGTCTGTTGTTCTACGGCGGCGTCCAGTGCCCCTTGCTCTTTGCGTACGGCCTTCTCGAAGCCATGCCTGACAACACCTAACCACAGTGTCTACACTTCTTTGCACTCTAACTGCAATTGCCCGAAAAGAAAGTCCAGCTTCCCGAAGTCCCACTATACGGCCCCTATCAAACTCACTAATTTGACGAAATCGTACAGGTCTCCGTACTCTAGGCATCGTAACCGATCGTAAAGGATGTCAAGAACCAAAATCCGCCAACGTTGATTCTTTACTGCGGCTGAAACATTCATTTTTAGAGCGTTAGTGAATTAAAAAAAAGCAGTATAAAAACCGGAATGTCCAACTGATAAGGCTGAAAATTTTTTCACTTGTTATTTACAATCAGATAAATACATTCACCAACTTTTATTAAAATAAAACCATTTAATCTGGGTGTTCGGATTTATATGTCACTCATACTGCCTGTAAGTATATCTTACTGCTTTCGATTTGCTATATATAGTCTAGAAAACAAATGCATTGTTTAGCACAATAATGCGAGGTCCGTAATTTTAGTAACGAGGCTGGCAACGTAGCGTTAGATCTGGCAACACTGGAGGCGCTGGGCTTGGAGGAGAGACAGGGGAACATGTGATCCGACTTCAGTACACGTTTCAACTCGCTCGAGTCATTTAGTTATCAGTAGCGATTTTTTTTTTGTGAAACTCAATGGTTGCCATATCTCCAAATGTCGCACGCGCACTGAATAATCAATCATTATCAAACGCAAATGAATCGAGTGGACAAACACCTGATAGCAAGCTATGCATAGTCAAGGCCATGTATTATAATTTTTTATAAGCAAAAAAATTCACGACTCATTCTCTTTGAGGGAATCTTTAGAAAATATACTAAATTGCATAGAAAATGCAACGACTATGAGTGCTGTAATTTTGAGCATACTTATACAAGTCTTAGGTCTACTGATACATAGAAAGTAATTAAAATTTTAACTCGAAAGCCTGTCCCATACATGTTCAATGGGGAAACACGTGCGACATGAGATCGTGCGTTGTCCTGTTGATCTTGCCATGGTTTCAATAAATAATTCTGGGTGTTGCATTTTATATGTCACTTAGTATACAGGGTGTTTCACTACTTATCCGACAAATCTTAACCACGGAAAAAGTTGATTTCTCAAAAAAAAAATGTAATAAAAGTCATACAGAAATCGAGATAATAATACAGTTTATTAGTAGCTTATAAAAGCTGTTCAAAATTGTTAACATTCAATTTCGGCGCACTAATTCAAATACACCTCCTTCCTGCTGTGCCTGAAGGCTCAAATTATCGGCAGCTCTTAAGTTGGAACATTATCTTCGTCACCTGCAAACTATAGTTGGTATTTTCATCTTTAAAATTGTTGCTGCAACGCCCATGGTGGCAGAATCAATCGGTTGTTGGCCTCTCGTCGTGCCCATATTTCATACTGTGTGTAGGAAATTTTCGACTTGAGACTCATTCTCAAAATACGACGTTTCCCGTAACTTTAAACCCGACGGTGTAAAGGGAAATATGCTGCAGCGGCAACTAGGAAAAGTTTTTACGGCCCTGTTATTGTGGGCCTATACATTTTATAGCGCTTTTAGAGCTCATTTGTCTCAAAGTGGAATGGTCGAAGTGGATGTTCGTCAAAGAGAAAGTTTTATGGCGAATGGCGTCATAACCGTTAAGCTTTTGTGCCCGATTCAATTAGGTTGTACCAAGTGGTATACTATCTTCGAAAATTATTGAATTCATATGAAGAATGCTTTCAGATAAAGGGTTCGGATTATATCAAAAATAAAGTTGACGTTTTCTCAAAAACGAACCGTCGGGTGGCTAAGAGTGCCAGTGGGAAAGTTTCATTAGTTTTTTTATACATATAAAATACAACATCCGGGATTATATATAGAATTTTGATAAAAAACTTTTAAACAGCTTTCTGCTGGAGTTTGAATATTTCTTGTTTTTTTTTATGTTTTTTATATATGATATAGGCTTCTCTGGTTTGTTATCAGGCTTACGATCTACCTAGCATCTGCTTCTATCGCGCTCATGGTAATGCCACGTTAGTTTTCCAACCCCATTCTTGCTGCAGCCATCAGTGTGCCTTCTTGCGATTCAAACCCTGATGCGGTTTCGATATTACTCGCAAATTTATATACCTACATGTTCGACGGAACCCATAAATACATTCTATTTTATTTCTCAAGTTGCTTTACAGATGGATTGTCGCATATATGTGATTTTTAGGGCCAGAGATGGGAAAACATGATCATGTGTTCGATTGAATTTTCGAACGATTTGAAATCCTATTAAATTAA